TCTACAGAATTCAGATGACTGCCACTCCTCTGGCCTCTGCTGTGCCTCCTCTTGTGCTGCCATTAGTCCCTGACCCATACCACTGAACCTTCCCAATGCTGCGAGTTGGCGGCATCAGCCCCAGGGGCATCTTTTAGTACTTACTCTCCATTGGCCCTCTCATTTTTCTGGGGTAGCTATCATTTTTGAACAAAGCTTGTGAGGAGAGTTTTGCAAAGGCCAATTTTTAAATAAATAATGGTACAGAGTTTTTTGTGAACAAATAACTGTGCTACATTAAAATGCCAGAGTTTATGCTATGGGACCCATAAGGAAAGGTCAAGTTCCCCTCCATGGCAGCCTTGCTTGGTGTTTCTCAGCACCTTGTGTCTAGCCTAAATGCAGTTTCTGCAGTGAAGTGCTGGCTGTTCAAAAGCACAAGAAAGGTAACATGGTGCCCAGGTCCAGATATTTCTTGACCCATTTTCCCTTTGCCTCCATTTAGGGAGTTTTGTGATGCTTTTGCTGACCTTGCTTGAGACCTCTATTCCTCTTCCTACCTAGATTTCAGAGGAGGGCTAGGATTGGTCTTTGGGACTTCTGTTATGTGGGAGGAGATGTACTTACTTACAAAGCTCTCAGCACAGGAGATGTCAGGCTTACGTGGATCTCTCCTCACTTCTCTGTCCCCTGTCTGGAGAGGGGTTGAACTCGCCATGTTGTGATGGGTAGAGTCAACCTGATCACCCAGCCCAAGTCAGCCCTGCTCACTGGAGTTTGTGTGACTTTGGGCCTTCCCTTTTTCTTCCTTCAGCCTCCCGCCACCCCCTCTGAAGTCGTCCCTGAGCACATCAGCCTGCAGACTTTTCCCCAGCCCCCACAGCTCAGTGGTCTCTAGGGTGCATTCTGTTCCATTAGCGCTAAGCCACCCTCTGCCACTGTTACCTGGCAACTCTTTACTAACCATGCCTGGACTCGTGGCCAGCCAGCCAGGTAGGTCCTGAGGTGAGCAGGACCAGAGCCTCAGGGCCTGGGGGCACGGCCCTCAGCTGGAGCCTGCAGGAGGAAGTGACACCCCCGCTGCTCCCTCTTTCCCTCACCTCCACCTTCCCCTTGACCAGCGGGAACAAAAACAGAAGGTGTTCTGACTGCTGACAAGTACATGTTTTTGGTCATGGGAAATCAGGAAGTGTTCCAGGGAAAGGAAACTGCCTGCGTGCTGGCCAGCAGCCTCAGAGGCGGATCCAGGACTGGCAGACAGGAACCTGCAGTCCCTGCACTTCATCTGCTGGGGGGATGAGCTGGCCCGCCAAGGTAGTTAAGGGCCTGCATCATCGCACACCTTCTCTGTGCATTAGAGTTTTACTCAAACATCTCTGGTAGCTTTTCCTTATATTCTTTTTCCTCCGAAATTTAAGACCAGTCAAAAACACCAGGAATCTGAGAAAGTGTGGGAGGTACAAAGCCCTGGTTTTGTGTAAGCATCCCTGACAGGAAACTTCAAGAAAGAAGTCCGAAGTCAGAAGTGATCCAGGAGGAAGTAAACACTGTGCAGTCTGAATCCCTGGTGACAAGAAGGCTGCTTGGAGACAGTACTGTTGAAAGGGACTCCACTGAGCACCTTCCCCATGCTAGCTGCTGTTACACGTGACTCCCGTAGTCCCTACCCAGCCCTTCAAGACGTAGGGACTTTGATCCGCATTTTGTAGGTAAAGAAGCTGAAGCTTCAGGAGGCCAGACAGCTTGCTCCAGGTCACATGGCTGTAAGCTTCAGAGCTAGGCTTTGAGCCCAGAGATCCTTCCTCCAGTCCACGGGCTTCAGATTCCTTTTGAAGAGTTCAGTTCTCTTCTCTGGGCCCCCATTTCCCCATTCGCATATCAGAAACCTGCCCCATTCCCCCTGCCCATGTCCACCCCTATCCACACATACACATTCTTAGAGCTAATGAAGTTGCCCCTTCTGACAGTGATGGGAGAGGAAGAAGTCCCCAGATCCAGGCCCCCAGGGAGGCCTGGAAGGATGCCACAGGCTCCCTAAGGAACCTCCCAGTAGTGCCCCACTTCCGGCTCAGAGCTGGAATGTTGACGTGAAGCAGGAGCATGGCCCCTCACCTCGGCTGAAAAGGTGATACTCTTCAGAACCCTGCAGTCACACCGCCACCCACAGTCACCCAGGCCCACCCTCAGCCACCCGTTGACCAGGTGTCCAGCTGATCTCGGACCGAGGCAGCAGGCAGAGAAGGAAACGCCCTTGTCAGCCAGCAGCAGGGCTGGTCCTTGGGTCCCTTGGCTCAGCTTCCAGCCTCTTATGGCCTCCCCCAGGTCTGGCTTCCCCTTCTGATTACCAGGCAAAAAGACCCTATGACGATGAAGAACTTGAGCCCCAGAATCACACACTGGTCAGAGCCTGGTCTGCCACCCTCAGCTTCCATGGCTTTGGGCACTGTGGTCCTCTGAACTCAGTTCCTTCCCTGCAGAGGAGACAGGAACAGCCCCCACCCCCTAGGGTTGTTAGAAGGATTGGAGGAGAAGGATGTGTGCAAAGCACCGAGCCCAGTGCCTGGCTACTGGTAAGTGTTCTGTGGAGGTGCACTGTTCTCATGGTGTTTTACCTGAGCTGTGATGTTGGGCTGAGCCGCGCCTGGCTACCGTGTTTCCTGGTACCCTGCACCTAGTATCCCAGTTGTCCTTTCCAAGAAAGTCACTCCAGGTGTCCAGATGACACTGAGCTTACACTCGCCCACTGTCCCCAACCCGCAGAGCTTCTCTGCCAGTAACTGTTTTAGAACATGGCCAGCGTGTTTTGAGGAAGCTGTGGTGCTTTGGCACCAACCAAAGGTTTGATGCCTAGTGTCTCAGAAACAAAACGGGCACGGCTGTGATATGGTGATAATGGCTAAGGTTAGAAAGTCGCTGTGCACTGGGTTAACCCGACGTCTCTGCCCTCTGATGAGTACAGAGCTGGCAGCTACCTTGGGCCTGTCAGCTGTGTAAAACCTCCTTTAGCCAACATTTGGGGGAAGAAAATGAGGCTGTTTCCTGGGGTCTTAATCCTAGCTCTGCAGTGAGCTTTGGCATCCATTAATCTCTCTGAGCTATTTTCCTCATCTGAAAACTGGGGGCGATAGTGCCAGACCTCCTACAACAGTGTTGGGAGTTACCATGAAGGGCTGGGTGTGGGGAGGGGGTGTTCCCTTGGGAGCCCCTTGGAGGAGAGGGCCAGAGTGAGCCCCCAGGTTCCCTGCCCAGCCTCCCCCACCTCCAGTAGGGCAGCTTTGGGTTTCTCCCCTGCAGCACCATTTCCTTAGGCCAGAATGCTCATGGAGGTTCACCTTCCAGGTAACCCCTGGAATCAGAGTTGCTCTGTGTTTACCACACAACTATCTCTGGTCTCTAGCCCCCTGCCAGGTATTAGGAACACCATGCGAGAGGACCACGTTCTGTACCTGAGGCCACAGCCAAGGTGGATTGGATTCAGCCAGGGGCCATGCCTCCCCCAGCCTGCTCCTGACACAAGCCCTGGTGCCTGAGCAGAGGGCAAGGGGAGGAGCAGGACAGGCCTGAGGTCAGAGCTTGTACTTCATGGGGCTGTGGTGTAGATGGAATGAAGTCAGGATGCAGAAGCCCTCTATGACATGTGGCTGTGCAAGGGCCTCTTGCCAATAATGGTGTATGTCCAGGGTAGGGGTTGGAAAAATTATATCTACTCCGAAGTGCAGCGGGTAAGGGCCTGAAGAGTATTAGAGCAGTGAGTGACCTGGGAAGTAGAAAAGGGGAAGGAAGATTCCTGGGGATAGGCAGGCAGATTTCCCCAAGCTGAAGAAGGGCCAGTGCAAACCCGTTTGCAAAGAGCCTGGAGAGAGGCCATCTGAAATAGGCCTGGGACTGGGCTCAGCCTGCTAGGGCCCTGGTCTCACTGGACTCAGCCAGGCAGGCCCCCGGTTGGGGAGAAAGCGGAGGTCTTGGCAACTGCCCCTCTGCTGCCTTGGCCAGGCAGCTGCCCCTCAGGCTCAGGGAGACTGAATAGCTTGCCCAGGGATGAACAGCGATAGAGCTTCACTGAACTAGTGTCTGAGTGACCTCAGTCCCTGGTTTTTCCGTCTCACCACACTGCTTCCTTCCATGGGAACACGGAGAGGTGCCAACTCCTGTGAGGCGCAGCTGGCTCGCAACACTTCTTCCTTCCCAGTTAGGGCCTCTGCCTCTTGTTCTGGGACAACTTGGGGAAGCCAAGTGTGGGGGCCCCTCTATCAGAAGTGTTCAACATTAAGATGAATGCACAAAAGGGGGTGACAGTAACTCCCCCTTTGAAACCAATTTTATGAAGATAAAAGCCTTGTCACATTGGAAAGGGCACATTTTAATGTTTGAGGAAGTGCTCAGTAGTCCCTGTGGCCTGAGGACTTACTGTTCTTGTGGATGCATTTAGGCTTGTTTATACCTAATAACATAATAATAGATACGATCAAGTGGGCCCTGGAAGGCCTGCCTGTTGTCTGCTGGACCAGGGTGTGACATGCCCTGCACCTCTAGAAGGCACAAAGCAAACCCCCCATGCCTCACCAGCTCAGAGAGTGATGGCAGCTTACCTTTGTATTATAGTTCTGGTGGGAAATTCTAGTAACTACTGCCATTTGGGAGCCCCTCTACCTGTGAATGCCAACCATGCTATGTGTCGTGTGCATCAATTCAAGCCCTCCTCACATCATCCCTGGTAAGAGGATACTGTTACAGTCCATGTTTCAGCACAGTGAAAGAGGTTAAGAGATTACCGACCGGTTCTTAACAACTGGTGAGGAGCAGAACCAGGATTCAACTCTGGTTTACCCACATCTCAAAGCCAGACCATTGGGAAGCTTCTGGCCCACCTCCTGGTGCACTGTCTTTAGCTGTGTCCATATTTTGGTGTGTGATTTTCTGAAGTGTGATCCAGAAAGGCAACTTTCGGCCTCTTGCACAGATTGCTCAGATCTAATAAACACGCAGGAGTGTCTGACGCTTCTCACTCTTCCTCGTACTGTGACCATAATACAGAGACTAACCCTATGCACTTCATATCTTGGGCAGCAGGCTGGCAGCCACAGTGAATAGCATATTCCATTGCCTTGGTAAAGCACTGCCCTGTAAGTTTACAATTTTAACTTCTTTCCTGTGTCCATAAGTAATCACTTTGGGTATATTCCAGGCGTAACACATTAAAGTAAAATGTGTGTAAGGATAAAAATGGTTTGGAGACTTTAAAAAGGTTTTATTTGTTGTCATGAAAATCATATGCTTTTGATTGTGTGTGTTATATATACATTCATATATGACTTATATCTGTATGTGGTAAGCATTGGATAATTCAGTTTTTAAATAAGTAAACCCACCAAAGACTCCCCTTTAGAAATGCTGTTGAGATTTCCTAATAGTCTTAAACTCTGCTTTGCACATTTTTCTATATAGAAACTCTATGGTCCACTCTATGGACCACTGGAATTCTGTAATTTGTTTGGCCCATTCATACTCCCTGGTGCTAGTCCTTCTGGGATTAATCAAAGAGAGATACACCTCTATCTATGTAAAAGTCCAACCCAAGGTGAGGCAGAACCTGATCTCAGTTCTGTTCGGTGCCTGATAATTGCAGTCTGAGCCTTATGGGCCAGCACTAATTTCGTGGCTGCTCTAATCTCCTCTGCTTCCGTAGCCACAAGAATCTGCTGAATTTAGGAGCCCAGAGTGTCACCTGCCATCAGTAACTTTGTTAGCCATGCTTCTTCAACCCTCAGTCCCGGTCTCAGTCCCAGTGAGGGAGAACCTGAGGTCTCGAGAGTCACTCATCAATCCCTTCAGTCAGCATTCTTGGGGATGAAGGAAGGAAAGCCCATCCAGTGTTCACACTTCCCTTTGAGCTCTAGGCCTGAGTGTTCAAGAAGAGAACAGAAAGTGTTCCTGCCTGAGAGGAAGCACAGCTGCAGCATCCGACTACTTCTCTATGAGAATCTGCAAGCTATAAACAAAGAAAAATTCCTCGGAGTGCCTCCAAGCATCAGCAAGACCTACAACTGGAACATGTTGGTGGCCTCCACATTATGAGAGGCAGAGCAAGTCTTGGAAGTGTCCTCAGAAGATTTCCATTGACTTGAGACCCCCAGGTAAGGGAGGCAGCCAATGTCTTTTACAAGTTTCCAGAAATGCTTCCGAAACTTCAAGCCAACAAAGGCGTACAGCACAGGATTAAGGCAGGCCCGCAGGTAGGCAATGGCCTCTGTCACTAAGATGGCATAGTGGAAGCTGGTCATGGTGTTGTACTCCCAGCTCATGCTGCGGATGAGCTTCACAAGGTTGAAAGGCGTCTGGGTCACCAGGAACACAGCCACTACAAGAAAGATGATCTTCAGAGACTTGTGCTTCTGAAAGCCTCGGGCCTGAAGCAAGGTCTTGACTATGACTGAGTAGCAGACAATCATGGTGATCAGTGGCAGGAAGAATCCCAGTGTCATCTGGGTGGCAAGAACCACAGTAGAAATCTCCTCATTGTGATAGCCACAGATGGGCTTGTCGAGGTAATGGACATTGCCATAGATGATCTGTGGCAAGGCAACCAGCAGGGAGATCACCCAGATGGACAGGCAGATGGCCTTGCCCAAGGTCATCCACTTGGCCTGCTGGTTGTAGGTCTTAGTGGCACGGACCACTGCAATGAAGCGGTCCACAGTGATGCAGGTGAGGATGAGCATGGATGTGTAGAAGTTCAAAGTGTAGATGCCCAGCAGGGTTTTGCACATGAAGCTGCCAAAGATCCACTCGTGAATGCCTGCATAGGCCCAGAAGGGCAGAGTGCAGATAAACACCAGATCAGCCAAGGGCAGGTTCATGAGGAACACATCTGTCAGGCTCTTCAGCTTCTGGTAGCAGACGTATATGACCAGCACCAGGGAGTTCCCCACCAGGCCACAGATGAACACCACCACATACATGCAGGGCAGAAACAGCTGGCTGAACTGCAGGAAGTCCTTATGTGCCTGGCTGCTGTTGTTGGAAGTGCGGAAGAATCCAGGATCTACATACTCATACTCGGCCATGGTGTCTGTTCTGATGAATGCCTGTGAGTCAAAACAGGAATTATATTTGGGGGTGATGACAACACCTCCTGTCTTTCCACTGTTCTGTTGTCCACTTTTGGGGGCAAATAGTCATCTCCCAAGCCCACCGCTCTTCTGCTCAGTAAAGGCTCTGTCCAGTATAGCAGAGAGACCCAGTTCTGAGGGAAAGTGCTCAGACAGGATGAGGAACTCTTCATTAGCCCTAAAATTCTCAGGATCTTACCCATCTGGGGGACTACATGCACATTCCATAAAATCCTGTGCTAACTGGTCCTGAAAGCAAAGGCCACCATGTGGTGCAGTGGGGACGGCGCCTTGTGGAAGAGCAGCATTGCTCTTTAATGGACAGGGCCCATCTCCATCAGCCCAGGCCTCAGCAGTTGTCCGGCCACCCTGTCCCCCATTTTCTGTTAACTGAGACCTCTGAACTGCTAAGGCAAGTGTTCCCCTTCCTGGGGGTCTACCATCAAGGGGACACCTAGAGACAAAAAGGTGTTGGGGGATGACCAGGACTTCTCTGTCTGGATGGACTGTCCATCCTGCCTTTTCTTGCCCTCAGTTGTGTAGACTTAAGAAGATGATGGATAGGGAAACAAGGATAGCATGGCCTGTGGCTGCCCAGCACTTTGGCCAAGCCAGCTTCCTGACCAGGGAATTGGGTGGCTCTCTTCATGTCCTGGCCCAGTTTTCCCCTCTGTCATCTATCTACCATCAGAGCTTCATTGCCTAAAGACTTTTTGATCTTCAGGAATCTCTTAAAAGGCAGATTTTCTTAGAAGAGAACATTGCTTTAGCTTTTAAAACTAGCAGTTTAAGACCAAGGTATCTTCTTTGACAGATGGAAGATCTGGTTGAGATGGGATGCCAGATGGGAGAACAACTACAGTGAGGCCAGTGACCAGCCTTGTGTGAGGCTGGCAGCCAAGACCACATAGCTGTCCTTCTGCCCCTCCTCTATGCCCTCTGACCCTGCTAAGGACCACGGACAGGACATAAAGTGATGTGATCTGTGACATGGGATCAGGGCCAGCTGCGGTACCACCAGTGGCCTTGGAGTGCCAGGCCACTGACTGCAGGTGTTCAGCACACAGTGACTCATTTCCAGTGACCCCCTGCCATATCCCGCCAGCATCTCAGCAAGATGTTTTAAGAAGAGCAGGCATTTGGGTTTAGCAAAATCAAAATATCAACTGGCCAGACAAGGGCATATAAAAAAAGAGATCATCTCTTTTCTACTTGGAGACTTCTTTTCCAGACCTCATACTGTCTTCTCTGTCTTTCCTGGGGCAGAGCGCCCTTTCTCTCCAAGGTGGGACCACGCCTTTGGTGTAAGACTACTTAACAAAAAGTCCCTGCTCCTAAACCACAAAATGTTAATATCTCTAAGGGTGATAGGCCTGCCGGAAGGCATCATGCCCCATCAGATCTCTGGGCTGCCAGATTAAGTAGGTTAGATGACGATGTGTATGTTACTGCTTGATGTGGGGACAGAAACACTTTTTTCATCATTTAGAACATGAAACAGGCAGCTTTGCTTTCCTTAAGAGCAATACCAAATCTCCATTTTTGCTTGACTTACTCTGCCCTTTTTTTTTATTAATCCTCCTATTATGGCTGTTACTGGATCCTTACATTGGCATTACATGTTTCCTCAAAGGGCTTGAGCACCTCTATTTGTAATAATTGGTAAACTTTAATGTTAATATTATGTTGCCAGATTGGGACTTCACAATTCTGTGTAGAGTATTAAAAAAAACTTTCCCTTCTAGAAACGTTTAAACCATTCATTTCTTTATATTCTGTAAATAAAGTCCTATATTGATTTCTTAAAAAACAGTAATATATATCACTTTGGAAGCAGTATAAATGTCTGATAATAAGTAAGCAAATTGTAATTCAGACATTGAATATAACTGAAATGTTTAGGAAATATTTTCAGTGATTTGGAAAAATACATACATTTACATTGATCAGAACAGTGTAGACAGAAAGTAAATATGCAAAATTAGTATTCACTGTTGCTATTGCAATAAGTAGATAACAAAAAGGAGGTAAAATTGACCACGATTCTTAACCTCCTTTGATCATAAAGCCCATGGAGAATCTCATAAAAGCCACACACCTTTTCCTCAGAAATAATACACACACACCCGCAATTCTGAGGGTTCATAAACTCTTTGAATCCCTCTGCCACGCATTCCATGAACCCTTGTTTAAGAATCTATGGTAAGTATGTGATTTTGACTGTATTTTTTAAAACATAGAAAAACGACCAGGTTTTTTCAGCAGTTTGCCTCTGGCTTATGGTATTAGTGGTAACTGATTTCCTTTCTTTCTTTCTTTATATTTTTCTATATTTTCCAAAGTTTCTACATTGGTCACATTGACTTATACTGAGAAAAGAAAGTAAACAATGACCTAACAGCCTGTCTTAAAAATGCAATAGAAATGAAAAAGAAAACCCAGCAGATTATTTAGTGAGCAAACATAGACATAGACTCTCCTGATCTCCCTGGGAGGTTCTGATGCCATTACTGCCAATTCCTTTAGTTTACAAGCACTTACTGTGTGCCCAGAATCTTGGTAAGTTGTTTTCACAGTCCTCTAATCTAACCTGCTTGGCAACAAATGGCAGAGATGGAATTTGATCAGAGAGCAATTGAGCTCTAAAACCTGGGCATTTTACACCACACTGCTGGAGGCAGGAACCTGAGGACCCCTATAACCTGGAGTTAGTACCTGTCTTTTAACTACAAAGAAGAAGACAAATTACTCACCAGCAGAGCTGCTCTGTCGATTTGTTCCAGGTATGAGCTTGCTCACAGCAGCAAGGGCTGCCTATATATCTCTTGTGGTCCGTGGTCCGTGTTTCCGCTGAATACTTTTAAAGAGCCCTTGGCTGATGATTAAGAGACCCACTCTGTCCCCATCTTGCAGATCAGAATCCACATGACTAGCCTGCACCCATGTAGTTTGGGGGTCAAAGATATGAAGCAGTGGCTCTGATACCATCCACCCCTGCAGCCTTGCTGGGGACTTACTTACCAACAAGGTCCTGAAAGTGTTTTTATTTGTAAACTGAAGGGAAGCAATAAGTAGCTCTGGCTCTGGCAGTCCACTGAAGATGGTAGGATTTGTACATTAAAATTATTTCATTTGCTACTCATAATCTCTTCAGAGCAGTTTGGGGCTACACCAATTCAAAGTCTAAGATGTAGCCTAGATGCTGTGTACGTGCAGCTCCAAAATACCTGACAGCCACTGATCCTCATAGCAGCCCTGCAAAGTAGGTATTATCCCCATTTGTGTGTGTGTGTGTGTTAGTTTTCTATTTTTATTACCAGAAACTTAACTTAAAAAGACTCCTATTTGTTATCTCATAGTTCTGTAGGTCAGAAGTCTAGTATTGTATGGCTAGATTCTCTGCACAGGGTGTCACAAGACTAAATTGAGGTATCAGCTGGGCTGCAGATTTCATCTGGGACTTGTAATTTTCTCACAAGCTCACTGCTAGCTCACAGAATTCAATTCTTTCTCATGCTTTCATTTGGCTTTTTCTATCTTCAAGTTAACAGTGTGGTGTCAACTCTTTCCCATAACTTGAATCTCTCTTGACTTCCTCTTTTGCCTTCTTCCTTTGCTTGTATGATTGCATTGTGCTCTCCCAGATAATTCAGGAAAATTTCTCCTTGGAAGATCAGCTGATGAGTAATCTTTTCATTTTATTTTGGTATCATTAATATAAAATCACATGAGCAATATAGCAATCTCTGTGCTATACTGCCTTCCACGTGCCCCATCCCCATATTATGTGTACTAATCGTAATGCCCCTTATTCCCCTTATCCTTCCCTTCCCACCAACCCTCCCCAATCCCTTTCCCTTTGGTAACTTAGTCCATTCTTGGGTTCTCTGAGTCTGCTGCTGTTTTGTTCCTTCGGTTTTTGCTTTGTTCCTATGCTCCACAGATGAGTGAAATCATTTGGTACTTGTCTTTCTCCACCTGGCTTATTTCCCTGAGCATAATACCATCCATGTTGTTGCACATGGTAGGACTTGTTTTCTTCTTATGGCTGAATAATATTCCATTGTGTATATGTACCACATCTTCTTTATCTATTCATCTACTGATGGACACTTAGGTTGCTTCCATTTCTTGTCTACTGTAAATAGTGCTGCAGTAAACATAGAGGTGCATATGTCTTTTTGAAACTGGGATCCTACATTCTTAGGGTAAATTCCTAGGAGTGGAATTTCTGGGTCAAATGGTATTTCTATTCTGAGATTTTTGAGGAACCTCCATACTGCTTTCCACAATGGTTGAACTAGTTTACATTCCCACCAGCAGTGTAGGAGGGTTCCCCTTTCTCTGAATCCTCGCCAGCATTTGATATTCCCAGTCTTTTCTACGTTGGCCATCCTAACTGGTGTGAGGTGATACCTCATTGTGGTTTTAATTTGCATTTCCCTGATGATTAGTGATGTGGAGCATCTTTTCATGTGCCTGTTGGTCATCTGAATTTCTTCTTTGGAGAATTGTCTCTTCATATCCTCTACCAATTTTTTGATAGGTGTATTTGCTCCTTGGGTGTGGAGGTATGTAAGTTTTTTATATATTTTGGATGTTAACCCCTTGTTGGATATGTCATTTACAAATATATTCTCCCATACTAGGATGCCTTTTTGTTCTGCTGATGGTGTCCTTTGCTGTACAGAAGCTTTTTTAGCATGATGTAGTCCCATTTGTTCATTTTTTATTTTGTTTCCCTTGCCTGAGGAGATGCATTCAGGAAAAAGTTGCTCATGTTTATATTCAGGAGATTTTTGCCTATGTTTTCATATAAGAGTTTTATGTTTTATGGTTTCATGACTTACATTCAGGTGTTTGATCCATTTTGAGTTTACTTTTGTGTATGGAGTTAGACAATAATCCAGTTTCATTCTCTTGTGTGTAGCTGTCCAGTTTTGCCAACACCAGCTGTTGAAGAGGCTGCCATTTCCCCACTGTATGTCCGTGGCTTCTTTATCATATATTAATTGACCATATATGCTTGGGTTTATATCAAGGCTCTCCAGTCTGTTCCATTGGTCTATGGATCGTTTCTTGTGCTAGTACCAAATTTTTTTGATTACTGTGGCTTTGTACTGAAGCTTTAAGTTGGAAAGCATAATACCCCTGCTTTATTTTTCCTTTTCAGGATTGCTTTGGCTATTCGGGGTCTTTTGTCATTCCATATGAATTTTAGAACTTTTTGCTCTAGTTCATTGAAGAATGCTGTTGGTATTTTGATAGGGATTGCATTGAATCTGTAGATTGCTTTAGGAGGATGGCCATTTTGACAATACTAATTGTTCGTATCCATGAGCACGGGATTTGTTTCCATTTATTGGTATCTTCATCAATTTCTCTTATGAGTGTCTTGTAGTTTTCAGGGTATAGGTCTTTCACTTCCTTGGTTAGGTTTATTCCTAGGTATTTTATTCTTTTAGATGCAATTGTGAATGGATTGTTTTCCTGATTTCTCTTTCTGCTAGTTCATCATTAGTGTATAGGAATGCAACAGATTTCTGAGTATTAATTTTGTATCCTGCAACTTTGCTGAATTCAGATATTAGATCTAGTAATTTTGGAGTGGATTCTTTAGGGTCTTTTATGTACAGTTTCATGTCATCTGCAAATAGTAACAGTTTAACTTCTTCCTTGCCAATCAGGATGCCTTTTATTTCTTTTTGTTGTCTGATTGTCATGGCCAGGACCTCCAGAACTATGTTGAATAAAAGTGGGGACAGTGGGCATCCTTGTCTTGTTCCCGATCTTAAAGGAAAAGCTTTCAGCTTCTCACTGTTAAGTATAATGTTGACTGTGGGTTTGTCATATATGGTCTTTATTATGTTGAGGTACTTGCCCTCTATACCTACTGTGCTGAGACTTTTTATCATGATGGATGTTGAATTGTATTGAATATTTTTTCAGCATCTATGAAGATGATCATGTTTTTGGCCTTTTTGTTGATGTGGTGGATGATGTTGATAGATTTTCAAATGTTGTACCATCCTTGCATCCCTGGAATAAATCCTGCTTGATCATAATAGATTATCTTTTTTATGTATTTTTGAATTCAGTTTGCTAATATTTTGTTGAGTAGTTTTGCATCTACGTTAATCAGGAATATTGGTCTGTAATTTTCTTTTTTTTGTTGTTGTGTCTTTGCCTGGTTTTGGTATTAGAGTGATGGTGGCCTCGTAGAATGAGTTTGGGAGTATTCCCTCCTCTTGTACTTTTTGGAAAACTTTAAGGAGGGTGGATATTGGGTCTTCACTAAATGTTTGATAAAATTCAGCAGTGAAACCATCTGGTCCAAGGATTTTGTTCTTAGGTAGTTTTTTGATTACCAATTCAATTTCTTTGCTGGTAATTGGTCTGTTCAGATTTTCTGTTTCTTCATGGGTCAGCCTTTTAAGGCTGTATTTTTCTAAAATGTTGTCCATTTCTTCTAGGTTATCCAGTTTGTCACCACATAATTTTTTATAGTATTCTCTCATAATTCTTTGTATTTCTGTGGTGTTGGTAGTGATTTTTCCTTTCTCATTTCTGTTTCTGTTGATGTGTGTAGACTCTCTTTTTTTCTTGATAAGTCTGGCTAGGAGTTTATCTATTTGTTTATTTTCTCAAAGAACCAGCTCCTGCTTACATTTATTCTTTCTGTTGTTTTATTCTTCTCTATTTTATTTATTTCTGCTCTAATCTTTACTATGTCCCTTGTTCTACTGACTTTGGGCCTCAATTGTTCTTCTTTTTCCAGTTTTGTTAATTGTGAGTTTAGACTGTTTATATGGGATTGTTCTTCTTTCCTGAGGCAGGCCTGTATTGCAATATACATTCCTGTTAGTATGGCCTTCGCAGTGTCCCACAGATTTTGTTGTGTTGAGTTATTGTTGTCATTGTCTCCATATATTGCTTGATCTCTGTTTTTATTTGGTGATTGATTAATTGGTTATTTAGGAGCATGTTGTTAAGCCTCCATGTGTTTATGGAGTTTTTCATTTTCTTTGTGTAATTTATTTCTAGTTTCATACCTTTGTGTTCTGAGAAGCTGATTGGTACAATTTCAATCTTTTTGAATTTACCGAGGCTCTTTTTGTGGCCTAGTATATGATCTATTCTTGAAAATGTTCCACGTGCACTTGAGAAGAATATGTATTCTGTTGCTTTTGGATGGAGTGTTCTGTAGATGTCCGTTAGGTCCATCTGTTCTAATGTGCTGTTCAATGCCTCTGTCTCCTTACTATTTTCTGTCTGGTTGATCTGTCCTTTGGAGTGAGTGGTGTGTTGAAGTCTCCTAAAATGAATGTATTGCATTCTATTTCCCCCTTTAATTCTGTTAGTATATGCTTCACATATGTAAGTGATGCTGTGTTGGGTGCATAAATATTTGTAATAGTTATATCCTCTTGTTGGACTGACTCCTTTATCATTATGTAATATCCTTCTTTGTCTCTTGTGACTTTCTTTCTTTTGAAGTCTATTTTGTCTGATACAAGTACTTCAACTCCAGCTTTTTTTCTCCCCATTAATTGCATGAAATATCTTTTTCCATCCCTTTTGATCAGTCTGTATACGTCTTTGGGTTTGAAGTGAGTCTCTTGTAGGCAGCATATAGATGTGTCTTGTTTTTTTATCCATTCAGTGACTGTATGTCTTTTGATTGGTGCATTCAGACTATTTGCATTTAGGGTGATTATCAATAGGTATGTACTTATTGCCATTGCAGGCTTTAGATTCATGGTTACCAAAGGTTCAAGGGTAATTCCCTTACTATCTAACAGTCTAATTTAACTCACTTAGTATGCTATTATAAACACAACCTAAAGATACTTTTTTAGTTTCCTCCTTTTCCTTCCTCCGCCATTCTTTATATAGTAGGTATTATATTCTGTACTCTGTCTATCCTTTGATTCCATTTGGTGGTAGTTGATTTGGTTTTGCATCTGCTTAGTAAATAATCGTTCTACTTTCTTTGCTATAGTTTATTTCCTCTGGTAACAGCTATTTAGCTTAGCCTTAGGAATATTTCCATCTATAGCAGTCCCTCCAAATTGCACTGTAGAGGTGGTTTGTGGGAGGTAAATTCTCTCAGCTTTTGCATCTGAAAATTGTTTAATCCCTCCTTCAAATTTAAATGATAATCTTTCCGAGTAGAGTATTCTTGGTTCAAGGCCCTTCTGCTTCATTGCATTAAATATATCATGCCACTCCCTTCTGGTCTGTAAGGTTTCTGTTGAGAAGTCTGATGATAGCCTGATG